TAGCTAGCAATCCAAAACAGTCCAGTGGAGCCTGAGCGGAGGGTGTTGCCTTCTGACACACTTCCAGTGATGTCAGGGGATGTGGCATGTGCAAATAAGTTATGCTAATGAGTTATGCTAATGAGCTCCTGCACCTCTTTTTCTACAAAATTACCCCTGACTATTGCTCCTAGTGATAACTATGGCAGTGTTTACGGCAGTGGTGGCTTCTAGCGGTATAGATATTTCTCACATTCCCCGCTCCCCAGCAGTCCTAATACTAGTACTTTTGTTAAAAAAACTCCCAAACAAACAGCATTTCTATTTTAAAAAAATTGATGGTATTTAGAACCTGCCTTTCTTCTTTCAAGGAACCCCAGCCAGTTTATGTGGCATTCCCTGAAAGTCCCCTGTCCTAGTCATGCTAATATACTACTAGAGTGCCAGTATGGAGTAGCGGTCAGTATGCCAAGCTAGGATGTGGCTGAGACCCCTCTCTGCCATGGAAGCACACTGGGTGACCTTCGGCCAGTCACATATTCTCAGCCTAACCCGTCTCACAGTGTTGTTGTGGCGATAACAGGGAGGAGAACTGAAGGATGTAAACTACTATGGGGGCTCACCGGAGAGCAAGGTTGGGGTATAAATGAAGTAAATAAAGAGTAATGGGATAAAACACAAGTATGTGGGAACAATGAACAACAGCTGTCCTTAGTAGGATGTAACATTTTGGATTGCTCCAAATGCTTCACAGAAATTACCTCAGTATTTCTCACGTCAGCATTATGGAGCAGGTATTAGAACCCACACACTGCACCAGCTGAGAGATGCTGAGAGAATGTCTAGGCCACTTTGTGAGTTCAGGGCAGGGGTGACGTAGACCTGGGGACTTCCTGGCTCACAGCGGGGTTTCAGCTGGGTAGGTCATTACACAAGCTCTCTAAAATTAGACTTATTCTGGATCCTTGGCGGCAAGAAATAGAAGTGCTATGAACAGGAAACTGCTTTGTCAGAAGGATCTTAATATGGGCCGTAAAAGCAGAGCTGGGATAAAAATAAAGTCAGTGATCAGAAGTGGAGAACGACTAAGTGTTCGCGGAGGGAAGGTGTTGGGTATTACAAGTTGAAAACACTCAGTATATCTGGGGTTAAATGTTTGTTTATGTTAGTCACAGGAAGTCACATGTTTCTCATGTAACCAATGTTCTTTAGATGTAGAATGCCCCGGAATTTTCTCCCTGATCTAGGAATTCGATTGGGACTAAAGTGTCAAGGTGTATTGCCATTTTATGGCTTCTCTTCCGGTCTTTGTTTGGTGTTCTGAAGAACAAGAAGAGTAGTCATAATCTCTCTTCTAGTTTTGTCTTTGTAGAGTAAGGATATAGCCGATTATGTTCTGTTGTTATTTTCATCCCAGTTACCCTTCCCATGCTAGAATTTAGTAAAAACTTTATATTTTAATCACACATGGACTCTCAGTCTGAATTATTTTACTCTGGCTCTGCTGGACCATCTTATCTCTGCTAAATACCATTTTTCCAATATCTCACTATCACCCAACAGAAGGAATCAAAGTATCCACCCTCGTTCTGTTTTCCTTTGAGGGGAAAGTGATTGGATCTTTTGGATTTTACGGAAAGGTGACTCTTAATGGTTCCAAGCTCGAGTGGGAAGTTTCTGGTTCAAGTCTGATTTCAACCGTCAAACTGTGAACTCACCAGCAAGACTCTCCAGAGCCTCACAGGCCTTTTCCTAGCTCTACTGGCCTGCTTTGCAGTGTTGTCATATGGACAAGTAGAAAAACATGCCTGATGGGGCATTAATAGGGTTGCCACAGTCCATGTAAGGCCTGGAGGTCTGGAATTACAGTGATTTTTGAAGGGTGTGCTTTATGGCAATGTACCCCACTGAAGAAGAAGAGAAGAAGAGATTGGATTTATACCCCGCCCTTCACTACCCAAAGGTGTCTCAGAGCAGCTTAAAGGTCACATCAGCAGGTGCAAGTGGAGGAGTGGGGAATCAAACCCGGTTCTCCCAGATTAGAGTCCGCACACTTAACCACTAGACCAAACTAGAAGGAGCCTCCCTGCTCCTTCTAGGAATCTCCCCGTCACAGTTACCCTTAATAACTAGCAGTCAGATGTGTGCTGCCTCTAAACATGGAGGGTCTGTATAACCATCGCAGCTCATGGCCACTGATGGACTTGTCCAGCTGCATGAATCTAACTCCCTTTTAAAGTTTTCTGAAACAGCTGATGTCACTTCTTACTGCAGTTATTCAATAAGTTAATTATTCAGCATGTGAGCCTACTGCCAATCCTGTTCAGTATTACAGATTCTGGAAGCTCCTGTTTTCTTTGTATCAGCTCCTGGGCCCCTGACGATTCCCAAAATACCAGGTTGCATGGCCTGTGCCTCTCAGTTTTCCTCTCTGTAGCCATGCTTCTAATTTTTTTTTTCAATTTTACATTGACACACACACGTCTCTCAATGGTCCCTGACTTGGATAGCCCAGGCTAGCCTGATCTCATCAGATCTTGGAAGCTAAGCAGGGGTGGCCCTGGCAAGTATTTGGATAGGAGGCCACCAAGGAAGTCCAAGGTTGCAACACAGAGGCAAGCAATGGCAAACCACCTCTGAATGTCTCTTGCCTTGAAAACCCCATGGGGTTGCCAGAAGTTGGCTGCAACTTGATAATGGGGGGAGTCTACTAGTATAGGATACCCTTCTTACATCTGATGAAGCCAGCTCTAGTTCACAAACACTTCATGTCACAATAATCTTTAGTAAGTAAATCAGCAAGCATTCTGTCTCAGTTTAACTTTGTACCCTTATGTAGCACAAAAGGGGGGTTGCTGTTTATATAGTGGTACAAGGACTGGGATCACTGTAATTGATTCTACTGGCATACCTTCTTAAAATATTATCTCATTTGTCATATAATATGAAGCAAATGCCTGCAGTAACAAAGCTGCATTTACAAAAGGCGAAGTATCAGCTGTCCCACCAATACAATATTATTTTTTTAAAAAAATTCTCAAAAGGTGTTTAAAATGTAATTAAATCACTTCTAAATATTGCCGGGGGGTGTGGAACAGTAGTCCTAACTACTAATCTCAGAATTCAAATGTGCTTTAACTATGTCTAAAACAAGATCTATCCAAAAACCACCAGCACAAAGTATAGCTACTTGTTTGTTTGCATTGCTTAACCAAGAAAAGCATTTGCCTACATTTTTAACCACTAATACAGATTGAGCTGCGGTGGCTCAAGTGGTTAAGACACTGAACTGCAGGCTGTGGAAGGTCAGTAGTTAAACTCTATGGGTTTCCCTTGGATGATTGTGGCTCCGCCCCCAAC